CTCTCTCTCTCTCTCTCTCTCTCTCCGCTCTCGCTCTCTCTCTCGTCTTTCTCTCTCTCTCTCTCTCTCTCGTGCGCTTTCTCTCTCTCTCGTCTATCTCGTCGCTTTCTCTCTCTCTCTCTCTCTTCTCTCTCTCTCTCTCTTCTCTCTCTCTCTCTCTCTCGTCTCTCTCTCTCTCTCTCTCTCGTTCTCTCTCATCTCTCTCTCTCTCTCTCTCCTCTCTCTCTCACCTCTCTCTCTCCGTCTCTCTCTCTCTCTCTCTCTCTCTTCTCGTCTCTCTCTCTCTCTCTCTCTCTCTCTTCTCCTCTCCTCTCTCGTCTCTCTCTCTCTCTCTCTCTCTCCGTGCCCTTTCTCTCTTCTCTCGTGCGCTTTCTCTCTCTCTCTCTCTCTCGTTACTCTGCTTCTGCTTTCTCTCCTCTCTCTCTCTCACTTTGCGTGCGCTTTTCTCTCTCTCATCTCTCTCTCTCTCGTGCGCTTTTACTCTCTCGTCTCACTTGTTGGCTCTCTCTCTCTCTTCAGTCTCGGTCTCGTCTCTGCTCGCTCCTCTCTTCGTCCTCTCGTTCGTGTCTCGTCTCTCTCTCTTCTCGTCTCTCTCCTCTGCTCTCTCTTCTGTGCAGCGCTTCTTCTCTCTCTGCTTCTCTCTGAGCCTTCTCTTCTCTCTGTCTCTCTCTAGCCCTGTGCTCTCTCTCTCTCTCTCTAAGCGTTTCTCTCTAATTCTCTTCTGCTGACGCCTTTCTCTTATCTCTCTGCTAGCCTTGCTCTCTCTCTCTCTCTCTCTCTAGCCTTCTTCTCTGCTCGTCTCTGCTCTCTAGGGCGCTTGCTCTCTCTCTGCTAGCCTTGCTCTCTCTTCTGGCTCTCTCTAGCCTTCTCTCCTCTGCTCTCTCTGCTCCTCTTCTTCTCTCTCTTCTCTCTTCATCTTCTTCTCTCTGCTCATGCTCTTGCTCTCTCGTCTCCATCTCCTCTCTCTCTCTGCTCGGTCGTCTAGGCCGTTCTCGGTCTCTCTCTCTCTCTCTAGCCTGCTCTCTGCTCTTCTCTCTCTTCTAGCCTTCTCTCTCTCTGCCTCTAGCTCTTCTCTCTCTTCTCTCTCTCTCTCTCTCTCTGCTCCTTCTGTCTCTCTCTCTCTCTCTCCTTGCTCTCTCTCGTTCTCTGCTCTCTAGCCTTCTCTCTCTCGTCTCTCTCTCTTAGCCTTGCTCTCCTCTCTCTCTCTAGCCTTTCTCTTCTCTTCTCTTCTCTCTAGTCCTTCTCTCTCTCTCTCGCCTCTCTCTAGCCTTCTCCTCTCTCTCTCCTCTCTCTCTCTCTCTCTCTCTCTCTCTCTCTCTCTCTCTCTCTCTCTCTCTCTCTCTCTCATCTCTCTCTCTCTCTAGCCTTCTCCTCTCTCATCTCTCTACTCTCTCTCTCTCTCTTCTCTCTCTCTCTCTCTCTCTCTCTCTCTCTCTCTCTCTCTCTCTCTCTCTCTCTCTCTCTCTCTCTCTCTCTCTCTCTCTCTCTCTCTCTCTCTCTCTCTCTCTCTCTCTCTCTCTCTCTCTCTCTTTCTCTCAGAATTTATAGTGTAGTACTCATTCTGGTAACTACTGGCAACTGTTTAACCTTTCTGGCAGGGCCTTTGCTGTATACAGCTAGCCTTTCCCACGTCTCATGAGAGCGAATTGTGACCTGTATACATGCACCTGTCATAAAATTTAGGCTTTCCATAATGGCTATAACTGCCTGAAACCAGGCATTATCTCTCCTCGATTCTCTCTCTCTCTCTCTCTCTCTTCTCTCTCTCTCTCTCTCTCTCTCTCTCTCTCTCTCTCTCTCTCTCTCTCTCTCCTCTCTATCTATCTATCTATCTATCAATCTCCTTGCCTCTGTCTCTCTACCTCTCTCCCCTTCTCTCTCTCTACCTCTCTCCCCTTCTCTCTCTCTACCTGCTCTCCCCCTCCTCTCTTCTACCTCTCTCTCCCCTTCTCTCTCATCCCCTCATCTCTCTCTCTCTCTCATCCCCCATCGCTCCTCTCTCTCTCTCTCTCTCTCTCTCTTCTCTCTCTCTCTCTCTCTCTCTCTCTCTCTCTTCTCTCTGCTCTCTCTCTCTCTCTCTCTCTCTCTTTCTTTCTTTCTTTTTTCTTGTTCTCTCTCTGTCTCTCTCTCTCTCTCTCTCTCTCTCTCTCTCTCTCTCTCTCGTTCTTCTCTCTCTCTCGCTCTCTCTTTCTGTTCTTTCTTTTCTTTCTTTCTTTCTTCTCTTTTCTTTCTTTCTTTCTTCTTTCTTTCTCTGCTCTCTCTTCATGCTCCTCTCTCTCTCTGCTGGCTCTCTGCGTCTCTCCTCGTCGGCGTCTAGCTCTCTGCTGCTGTCGTCTCGTCTCGTCTGCGTCTCTCTCGTCCTCTCGTCCCTCTCTCTCTGCGGTCTCCATATTACCTCATAGTCATTATTAGTAATGTTTGGAGATAGAAAGGACTTCAGGACTAATAGGTCATGGTACTATTCTGCTGTCTGTAAATGCATTTTTATTGTTCTCCTAGG